ATATAAATAAGTTTAAAAAGAAAGAAATGGAAGAAAACGCACAGGCAGCTGCTAGTCCTATCTTGTTAAAAAGGCTAAAACAAGGGTAGGAAGGAGAAAAAAGCCAACAGAAACCTTGCAGAAAAGTGCAATTAGAAAGTAAGAGGAAAACGTGATATTTGCGTATGTATTATCAAGGAGTCAAAGGACATGATATTAACTGAATACTAATAAGGTGACAAAAGAGATAACTGAACATTCTTACCTCATCTGCAATATTTGCACAGGAATAGGGTAGAAGAGGGAGAGAGATTTCCTTGAGTGTATACCTTGTAGTATAGTTTTTTAACTTTTGGAATCAAAAAATGAAAGCAAGAAGAGTGGAATTAAACGTGAATACTATTTGAAAATGAGCTGAGTTTCAAGTGAATAGTGTAAATACACTTAAAGGGGTTGAAGAATCAGTCTAGTTACACTTGAATAAGGTATGTTTACTGTGTGTATGCATTCTAAATTAGGGAAAAAAGCTATATGTTCTTCAAGCTGATGCTTTTTTTTAGAGTACAGCAATTTTGTATGCTTTGGTAGTATTGAATAAATTAGTAAAGAAAATGATATGGAATGCTGTGTTTGTGTTTTCATTCTATCAAGAGGAAACAACAAATATGAAAACAGAAAGGAAGAATCCCATGGGGCTTCTTGTTTGTGTGTGTGTGTGTGTGTGTGTGTGTGTGTAGGGAATTTTTATGCCTTGGTGGAGAGCTATGTTAACACCCACTTCTTGCTCTCCAAGCACCATTCTCTACATAAAAATTAGTATTTTAGAGACATGGTGGATTTCAAGTATAGGGCAATGCAAGAAGCAAAATTGACCTGTAACAGCACCCTATACCAAAAAAAGAAAAATAATAAATAAATAAATAAAGTGTTTCAACCCTGATGACTATATATCAGAAGCAGGCAGACAGCAGTTTGAAGAGATACATCCACCTAAAACTGAAGTAATTTTTCCATCCAAATTAACCCTCATAACCCATTGCATAATTTGGGAATCTATGCATACTGATAAAATGTAATCCCAGAAATACACAATAGTGTCTCCTTATCTGTGACTTTGCTTTCCACAGTTTCACTTTACCTTCAAGGACACTGGCTAAAAAATATTAAGTGGAAAATTCCAGAATTAACTCATCAATTTTAACCAGTTTGAGGAACATTGATGAAATCTCCATCAGTTTGGTCCATGCTAGTAGCCATATGGGTCATCCTATTGTGCCACATACCCATGCTGTATCCATCTCTTAATAGCTGTCTCAGTTACCAGACTGATTGTTGCAGTGCTTGGACTTGAAAAACCCTTATTTTAAATAATGACTGTCCAGAAGCACAAGAATGATGGTGCTTGCAGTTTTGTTACAGTCTATTGTTACATTTTTTTTTTCTGTTTTACTATCAGTTAATCTCTCATACCTAATTCATACATGAAACTTTTTCACAGATATAAAGACACAGGAGAGAAACATGTAACACAGGTTAATATCCCTCAGTGATGAATGTAGAGTGAAAGAAATATATCATTAGGTGATTTCATCAATGTGACTATCATAGAATGTTCTTACACAAACTAAGGTGACTAAGACATCAGTATGAGATGTATAATCTTACAGAGCCACTGTCATATGTGATACCCACCATTAAAATTGTAACATCATTAAATAACATTTGGTACTATCCTGACATTTAGCTGATCTGTCTGGAGTTTTGGAAAGTGTCCCTCACAGGTAAAGGAGGCTTGCTATAGACAGAGGAATTAAATTAGAATCCACCATTTGAAACTAAAGTCAATGAGTTGACTCAAGCAAGAATCATTGATGGTTGCCACAATGGGTAGGTGAAAGTTTCCTGAATTAAGGCCATTCCATGGAACAGATGCAGAGGTGGTGTACAAAAGACAGCAAGGTCTTCCTCACAGTAAGACACATATGCTTACAGCTACACACATGTGTGTCCACCGAGACCTGCCGTCTGAGAGCAGCGTGCCCCTCCAGCTGTCACCAGCTCTCAGGGAAAACAGTAAGATAGAAACAAGGAAGTGTGTGGGAGATGTTCAGCTCACCATGGCGAATGCTTCTATTTGGTCTGCTCAATGCTGATGAAATCTTGGCTCCTAACATGATTATGTCTGGAGCTTTGACCCCAAGACCTAACCTGGTCTTGCCTCATAAACTTACACCATATTCACACACTCCCTGCTGATCCCATCACGTTTAGAAGCTGTACCCCAGGTACTAATGGTTTTCAGGTTCAGGGTGTAGCAACAGAAAGACAATAATCAGGCAGTGGGAATGTACAGCTGTGCCAATGGAGTGATGGGGAATGGATAACATCCACAGTGCCCAGGGCTGCTGTTGGGCCAACAGTGCTGCCCAAGCCGCATTGAACTCAGTGTCCTGGTCAGTCTTTAAAAAGTTTCATGAGTAGTATATTTTCATCATCATAGAGAATCATACCCAAAGTTACTTATTAAAAGGACAAAAACCCAATAACTTTACATTGTAGAGATTTGTCAGATACCATCTTAATCAAGTCATGACAATCTATAAAATAACTGCTCTTAAGAAAAGAAGGGAGTGGGGCCCGGCGCGGTGGCGCAAGTGGTTAAAGGTCCTCGCCTAGCACGCCCGGGATCCCATATGGGCGCCGGTTCTAATCCCGGCAGCCCCGCTTCCCTTCCAGCTCCCTGCCTGTGGCCTGGGAAAGCAGTCGAGGACGGCCCAAAGCTTTGGGGCCCTGCACCCGCGTGGGAGACCCGGAAGAGGCTCCTGGCTTCGGATCGGCATAGTATCGGCCCGTTGCGCTCACTTGGGGAGTGAATCATCAGACGGAAGATCTTCCTCTCTGTCTCTCCTCTCTGTATATCTGCCTTTCCAATGAAAAAAATAATAAAAATAAAATCTTAAATAAAAAAAAAAAAGAAAAGAAGGGAGGAAATGGAGAAACAGAATGGGAATAAATCAATAAAATGGTTAAAGGGACTGTTGCAGGTTAAATGTCACAGATGACAGTGACATTGAATGCAGTGAATGACCATGGATAAGAGTTGTTCACTGGAAAGTATTTTCTATAAAGTCCACCATTGAAATGGCTGATAAAATCAAAGTAAAGCCTATCAATGAGATTATCATAATGTGTTTATGTTGCACTTAGAGTCCATGATCTTGCTTGCTATGTTTCTAAGAGAGTCTTTGTTAAGAAAGACGACAAAGGAGCTGTGTTGGGCTTAGCCATTAAAGCTGCTGCCTCCAGTGCTGACCTCCTATGTGGGCACTGATTTTAGTCCTGTGTTCCACTTATGATCTAGCTACCACTAACAACCTGAGAAAAGCAGTACAAGATGGCCCAGATACTTGGTCTCCCAACATCCACATACAAGACCTGGAGGAACCTTCTGGCTGTGACCTGACCCAATCTCAGTCTAAACTTTTTTGGCCTCTTATTGGTGGTTAAACCAATCATTGGAAGATTCTCCGCCCCTGCACTGTAACTCTGCAGTTACTATGCTTTGGGGTGATAGAAAAGTCCTACGTCAGCTTGTTCACATCCCAGATGGCCACAGCAATAAAATCTGTGCTGATCTGAAGCCAGGAGCTTCCCCTGGATCTCTTACATGGATACAGAGGCCCAGATACTTGGGACAGCCTCCACTGCCTTCCCAAGCTGGATCAGGAGTGGATCAGCTAAGATTCAACCAGTGCCCATATGGGCACTGGCATCGCAGGCAACAGCTTTACACACCATGCCACAACACTGACCTCTGTAAGTAAATCTTTTTAAAAAGAAACACTAAGCACAATGAAAAATAAGAGATTTAATAAGTGAGTGTGCAACTCACTATCAAGTTGCAAAAAAAAAAATTGAGAGGAAAATAGAATGATACCAACAACATGTAAAAATGTTAGTATTTGTAAATTTCAGGAAAGCACTTGAAGGGCTTTTTAAAGCTGTTCTCACAAATTATCAGGTTCAAATCATTTCCAAATAAGTGAAGAGAAGGAATGGAAGAAAAGTAATGAGCTGTGTGTCACCTAAAAATTGTAAGATTCTTTGTACAGACTGGCCTACAGTATTCTGCTCTGCCCCCAACTTCTAATATCAAGGAGAGTTTTAGAGAAGGATTGAATAGGGTCAAGGTTGCCTGGGAATTACAACCATGGGAAGGGCCCACTTGCAGAGTTCAGGTTTTGAACAAGAAACCTAATTGTTGGATGCAGAGGGAAGTTTTATTGTTGCTTCATGCTTCTTCTGAAACTTAACATGCTTATGTTCTTGACTTTTTACCTCCTTATCATTCTACACCGGTGCATAGTCACCATATTCAGCAGTCACATTCCCAACCTGGTTCTGAGGAGCCAGACAGCAGTGATTTAAAAAAAAAAAAAAAACCCTGCAGATATAGATGCTTAAGTCTAGTTTAGACTTAACACTTTTTATTCTCTTGTTATATTAAAAAGTTGTTGATTAACAGTATCAACAATTGAATTGATTTTCGGTGTTTCACTAACAATGAAAATGACATGTTTGAGTTGCATTTGGAATTAACTTTCCTGACTTTACATGGGATGATTTTCCAAGACCTGAACAGATGTGAGACTGTGTGATTGTAACAGGTGTCCATGAATTGGATTAAGGAATTTTTTGCATTTACATTTTCATAGGATGAAATAAACATGGTATTTTACAGAAACAGAACACTCTCATATAAAGCCATGATTCGTTTTCTTCCTGTGCAGAATACAAATTTTGCATTTCTTTAAATTGTAATGTGTTTCTGTGAGCCATTTGATAAGACAAAAGTCATCCTTGACATATCTGTAATAGTACTTAGAGCAAACTTGTCAAAAGTACTTCTAAAAGATTGCTCTGGATCCTGGGGAGATATATTTAGTAACCATATCAAATACGTTGTCACATAACACAACATTTCATTGATTTATTGGTGTTATTTTTGTATCTCACTGCAGGCAGAGAATTCAGCATTGGCTTTGGAAAATGAAAATCAAAGGGAACAGTATGAGCGATGTCTTGATGAGGTAAGCTGGTTGCCTGCATGGAGAGGCTCATGATAAGAGGCTAGACTAGGAGTCCCTTAATCTGATTTTAGTGCATGTATTTCCTAGCACCCACAGAACACTAACATTTTCTTCTCCAAAGGAAAGCTATAAATGTGTGGCCATTGAGAAGGGAAATCACCAAGTTTGTGTCTGTCTCCAACCTCCCCCACTCTTTTCCATAACCACTTAAATGACATCTGAGAATTCCTTTTGCTTATCATTTTATACTCTAGGAGCACAGCTTGGGTATGCTTGATTAAATGATAAATTCATTCTGTTCCATAAGCCAAATCTCCTTCCATGCACAAGAGACCTTACTAAGGGCACACTGACTCTTCAGGTGGATTCTACTTTCAGACGGACACTTCCTTTATAACGACATGTAGGGACAGCGTTCACATTTGGCAGCCAGAGTGAACAAATCAGGAGGTGAAGGACAAGCCAAGACGAGGAAAAGGAAGTGAGGAAGAAAACTTTCAATGGACGGAAGAAAACAGACATATCTGTGAGCCAATTCAATAAATATCACCCGATGCTAATGAAGACATAAGAGCAAAGACAATGGGTGTTAGAGGGTTTCCTGGAGGCCAGGGAAAAGCTAAATGGTGTGCAGAGCCCTGATCCTGCTCTTTGCTACTTCTGTCATACTGCGGGGGATCATTGTACAAACACTCCATACCCTGTCTTCCCAGGAGGACCTGACCTTCATCTCACTGGCAAGTTCTCCACTGGCACTTGTCAATGATAGGAGTAATTATTTGAGTGGAATAATTTCTGTTGTCGTGTTGCTTAAAACCTAAAGGTTGCACATATGAGTATTCAGTGAGATTCAATTTGAGATTTGTTACAGTATAACTGACATGAGATTTTAGAAAAAGAAGCAACTCCATTTAATACTGTTCTTTTGCTTTACCAGTAGGAATTTCCAGTACGTCTCCAGTCTTTATCTTTCCACTGACAATTACCCAAACTTTTTACAACCAAATCCTCCTGACATTTTTTATGCTTTTCATTGTCCCTCTATATTACCTATTCCCAGGAGCTGATGGCTTGAATACCAAGAACACATGTTTCCGTTTCAGCAATGCCATCAAATGCCCTTTCCCCCCAAAATGTATGTGGTCTCTCTCCTGTGAGTCCTGGTGGTACATGTTATTTTGCTGCGCTAGGGCTTCTTATGTGGAATCCTGAACCAGTAATGGCAGCTTCCTCTAGGACCTTGTTATGGATACAGATTTTTGGATCCTGCCTGTGGCCCACAGAATTAAAAAGAGCCTTGAGAGTGGGGCCTAGAAATCTGCATGTGGCCGAACTATACAATTTATACAGATATACACTGCACCATGAACAACTCTCCTCATGACAGAGATCACATTGTGTTAGATACTGACACAAGACAACTTTGAAAACCGCACAGAGGGGCTGGCATTGTAGAGCAGCAAGTCACTGCCACCTGCAATGTTTTGCATCTCATGTGTGCCAGTTCAAGTCCCAGCTGGTACGCTTTTGACAAGCCTCTCAACTAATGCACATGGGAAAACAGTAGAAAACAGACCTAGCACTTGGGTTATCGCCCCTTATGTTGATGACCTGGATAGAGTTCCAGGCTTCTGGCCTCAGTCTGGTTGGCTATTCAGCTATTTTGTGAATGAACTAGCAGATGGAAGATCTCGCTCTCTGTCCTTCCCTCTTTGCCTCTCTTTCTCTTTCTCTTTCTCCCCCAACTTCTTCTCTCTACTTTCCAAATAGGTAAATCTTCTCAGAAAATCTCATTGGAAAAGAATTAAAAGATTATTTCAATGCAAAAAAAAAAATTGGCAATCCATGCGTACTGTATTTGTAGTAGATATTTACAAGGAACTTTCAAAAAATGTTTTCATAGTTTTTGCAAAATAAGCTTGTCTTTTAATTCCACTTTCCATGAATTTTCTGAAGTAGTCTTTTACATGGTTTGAAGAACACTGAAAATCCCCAGGAAAATATTAATATTTTATATTTCAATTGTTCTGTATCCCCAACCATATATGTGAGTACCTCAAGCAAAATGGTGTTTACAGTTCTAGGCCCTGTCAGCTTTTACAGAGACCAGAATAATCTTCAGAATGCCCAACGTTAAAGGAATCACCAAAGTAGTTCACATACAAGGCAGTAAAATGACTTATGGTCTAGTAGCCCTCATTCCTGTTCCATGGATATTTAAAGTTACAAGTAATGCCCCTGGTTCATATGTATTGATCAGTAGAGTTTCACTTCAACCTCATACTCAGAAATTTCCAAGGAGACTTTATCTACATGCAGAAATCAAATCGATGTCACTTACATCACAGACATTCTGTGTCACAGTTCTCTTAGAGATATGCTTCCCCCCTCAGTTACAGAGTGCATATCTAATTATTTTTTCATGTTAATGTGCTGTTGATACAAAGAGAGCAGGTTTGATATGTTTCATAATACAATTCTGAGAATATGATGATACCCATATCCCCTCCCCACTCTTTCATTTTTAGTTCTTGCAATAACACTATCTTTCATTTACATTTCAGTCAAGAGCTTAATGATCCACAAAATAAAGAATTTAACATATAAAAAGTAAGAAGACCCTATGGAACATATGCAAGGTCCATCAAATGGTAATCATATGAAAAGAAGTCCATTGGTTTTTCCTCTGACTGTATTCTGTAGATGTCATGAGAAAAAGCCATGAAACATTTAAATTGTTTTACATGAGTCTTTTTGTGTCATGTTTCCACTAAAGACAGAATTTTTCAAGAGAAGTCCCCGCTGTTCTTAATTTCAAGAATGAGCTGTCGTCAGATAGATGATTTGTAAAACAGAACCACCCCTGAGCAATACAAGTGTTTTGTATTCATGAACACTGGCCCCTGATTTCACATGCCAGTTGATTTGTAACTAATTGCATGAAGTTAGACAGTAAGTTTCCATTCGCTGTAAGAGAATGCTCTCGAAGGGGTAGTTGGATTTGATAATACTGCCAAATGGAAATTTTCAAGGCTTTTTATACTAATTAGACAAACTAACAAGGTAATGTCTCATGTAAGTTATTTCCTATTGGTGAGTTTCATAAAACACATGTGGGTGGATTAAAAAAAATTTTTTGCATAGATTCTTATTTTCTGCAAAATGAAGAATATATGGAAGATTTGGAAAAAGGACTTGAGAGCCTGAAACAGCCTCTATGTGCTCCGTAAAAGAGCAACTTTATTCAGGAGATGGAGCCACAGAGTGCATTTTCACACACACACAGTACATGTCTGCACGTACTTCAGCACCATCTCTGGTGCTATTTCTCTGTTCCTTACCTTCAGTATGAGGGCAAAACCAAGGATTTTATCTTTGCTCTTTGGAGGTTGGAAAGTTTTCATGCCAGAATGTAGTTTTTAATTCTGGCTGTTTGATAGGCAGTTTCCTGGCAAGAAGTGAATTGCTGTTTATTCGCAGTATTGCCTTGGCCATGTTTTCTTTCATACCAACTATTCCCATGTTGGGAAATACAATGACACATATAAAATGAAGAACATCTTTCTGAGACAACTCATTGTGTTTAGCCGGGATCACTTGTGTCCTACAAAACTCTTTCGAGGTATCAACTGCACACAAGTTCCATGAGCTCATCATTTGCCAGCCTAAATGACAGAAGAGGGATAGGTGATCTCAGGATAAGAGAGGGTAGAAACAGAGCAAGGGATCTGCCCTGAGAATCTCAGGGAAAGGCAGTGCGGTCAGCAGCAGAGGGTGAAGCAGTGGATGGGTGGTCAGTGAATGGGGTTAGAATGGCAAACGGGCCCCTTTATTAGAAGGAACTGGAACAGGTCCGGTTCAGGGTGAAAAAGAGATGTGATCATCATTACCTGTATTTTGGACTTCTCTGGGGAGGTTTGAGATTACTGCCAGCTGGCCCAAACACAGAGATTCTGTTCTCATTTGGAAATGGGCTGGGGCCTGGGCTTTGGCATCTTTCAGAGCATCCCTGGGCATGGCAGTTTGGAGAGATTGGGAGCTCCTCAGACAAGTTACAAGTGCTGTGTAACAGAGGATGGAGAAGCAGCAGGGGGATGAAAGCTCCTTTCAAATCCTTTAATATGGTGGCAGAAAAGTAAGGATCCATGTGGGAGTTATGGATTATATCTGATTACTCAACAATGTCTGAGTTAATACAACGCTATGAATAGAAAAAACATACCCTGGCTGATATTTTACAAAGTGTACTTCTGGGGCCCTTCTACATCAGAAACATGTCCAGCAACTGAGAAAATTGAATAGGCCTCACTCAGATCTTCCCAGTTACTCAGTATTCAGGACAATTAAACTGAAAATCTTGACAATTTTCCTGTGTATGGAGGTAGAGAAGCTGGCTTTGCTTTCAGACTATCAGAGCTGGCAGCCTTAGAGTCAGTGAGGTGCCATAGTCAAGGTCTTCTGTGATTCTACACTTCTCAGTACAGGGGCAGGGAAAACCCAGCTCTTGAACTGTAGTACAGGAAACTGACGGGAAAAAATGTCCATCAGGATTTTAGGCCAAGGCTTAACACAACAGTTGGCTGTTGAGAACTTAATCATCTGTCTTGCTGCAGGTCAAGACTAGAGGAGGGCATCGTTACCAGAATGTGTTCATGCATATCCTACTGAAACCCTATGCGATTTTAAAACCAAGGCCTGCATAGATGGAGATGAAAAATGATTTTTGCTTATGGCTTTTGTAGGCTCCAAAAGTCCATTTCATGAATAAGTTGTGAAATTAACAGATGATCTTTCAGGTCGGCCTGAAGCTTTAAACTGAGTCATAAAATCAAGGGAATGGTCTACTCTTCTTGTTTGCCCTAGTCTCTGAGAGCCCAGAGTTAGCACCTGCATTCCATCCCCCATTATTCCTTCAGTGTCCAGCATGATTCTTCTCCATACGAACACACTTACTGCATATTTGTTCAATGAATGAGTGATTAATAGCAGGCAATTAATTTTCACATTAGTTATCTTGGAATTCCCACATACGTATTATACTAATTTCTTTAGTTGTCTCCTCCGAGATGAACACTTCTTTATTACGCACCAACTAGAAAGATAGCCCAGAGAATCAATCAGCTGAAAAGTGATGGTTGATTCATTTAAAAGATTTTTACTTGCATTAGGAGAGATCACTTGAGCTTAGAGTAGGAAGTCCAATCTAGCATTCAAACAGTGCCCCAAACCAACTCCTTCTTGTGAAATAAGGGCAAGGTATTTTCCTCTCAGCTTTCTCATCTTCTCATTTGTGTCTTACAGGATCAGTTTACAAAGCAATTGAATGATATCCATGCTCAGTAATTTATATTTACTCTGAGATATTGGATACATACATGCAAATATCTCTTATTGTTTTTATAAGTAAAATCCCCTATTCTAAAACCATTCTCTCTTAGTGGCACAACTGACAGCTTCCAGCAGCCTGGCTGATATTTACTGTTTATTGGGTGACTTGTACATCTGGTCCTGTCCTAGGTGGTTTCTTTGATTATGTCTATCAACTCGTGCTTTGTTCAGCCCTGGAGACAGTTTCCTTCCCTATCTCCCAAATGAGGAAAGTTAAGTGTGCTTCCATATCCTGGTACCCATCAGTGCATCAAGACCACACAGCCAATTTGGGGCTGTTTCTGTCTTGTGTCTCTATCCCAGTGTTCTCCCTGCTTTCCTATAACTGCCTCAATATAATAAAGCATGCTTAGTAACATGCAAAAGCTTCCCAAAGCACAGCATCAAAAACATGTGCTTTTTCAGTCAATAACCTGATGTGGCTGGTGCTTTGGATGATGAAATAGGTGAGAATATGAAAGCCAGACCATGAGAAAACTGTCCACACAGAAAATTCTCTGAGTTTCTCTCTTTCCCTGGCTGTCCCTTGCAACCATGGCTATCTTCTTAGCTTGACAAGCACAGTTCCTCTCAATCACCCTCCAGCCTGTCCTTTCTTTCAGTCCTAAGGATTCTGTAGGCCCAACTTCTCCAGCTCTGCCTGTCTCCCTTGCCAAATTCTCATATAAGGTGGTCAGTCCTGTGTCAGAGGAACTGGATTATCTGAAAGAATTCCTCCTGACAACGCAATGAGATGTAGTAGGCTCTGCTCCATGTCCTAGAGAGAGGTCCTCCAGGTCCTAGGGAGGGAACCCAAGGGGGGATGAAAAACAAACCAGGGGCTTAAGGACTTTTAGCTTGTGACATGTACTCGGAGTCCCTCTCATCCAGTCCAGCTGCTGCTTTCCCCCTGGTTGTAAAGGAAAGGTAGCAGGTAACACAGGAAAGTAAAGGTTATTTGTTAACCTTGGCTGGACCTGCCTGAGTGCTTAAGGCATAATGCTAGTTTGAGGACAGGGGCCATTCCAAGCATTATCCAGTGAGCCTTTTACAGGATTCAGGCACAAGCTCCAGATAGTTGTACTGGTGTATCTGAGAAACCTAGCTATTAAAAGGATGCAGGAAAAAAAAAAAAACAACTAGAAACTGTATCCACAGTACAAGAGCAAGCATCCATATAACATACCTGCTCTTCTAAAGAACCCTGGAAATCCTTCTGGGTAACACAACCCAATGCCAGTAGATAAAGAAATAGCACATCTGTGAGCCTTTGTGCTATTCTCTGGTAGCAAACACTTGTCCGAAGTACATGCCAGAAGAAACTTTATCAGATAGAGTCTGTAAGCCTGTAGAGCCAACTGCTTACATTGCAAAGATATAACATATTTCCTCCTGTGGGCTGTTACATTAGGATATTACTCTTTGTCTCCTATTAAATCATGGATAGAGGTATTTTTATGTGACTGCTGTTACACAGAATGGTTTAAGTGACAACCAGTTCCAAAGAAAAGAAAATATTGATGCTGGGCAGTTTTATGAGAATGTAAGGCAAACTAGAGATCTGAAAAGCGATTTTTTGATGGTTTGACTTAACATTGGTGCATTGTTCCTGATTCAATCTGCATGAACAGTTTAGTTCTCCTATTTTGCTCTATTTTGTGACAATAAAATAGGTGATATATGTCTTCAGTTTAAATTCCCAGTAACTTAGAAATTGGAATGAATGTTTCAGCACTTAAAGATCTCCACTTAGATTTGAGTGAATTTGTGAGGGCTAAAAAAATATTTATCACTGCTGTGAAAATGTGTACATGAACAAGGAAAAATAAAACACCAGTTAATGAAAGTTTGTCTTATTTTGGGCTGTGATACTTCTTTGGTGAGAGAAGCAAGGAAGAGAATTTCTCATCTACTGGGTTACTCCCGGGGTCTGGAGCCAAGCCGAAACTAGGAGCCAGGAACTCAATCCTGGTCTCCCAAGTGAATGACAGACTCAAGGACTTGAGCCTCTCAGGATTTGTAATAGCAAAGAACTGGAACTGGAGACAGAGCCAGGACTCAGACTGAGATGGGGTTCAGGTCTCCCAAGTGGTACCTTCACTGCTCTGCCAAATTCCTGTCCTTGTTTGATAGTTCTTTAACTCCATCTTCACTGAAAATACCTATAAATACTCTTGTTTTTTATAACCATGGTTAGCTTCAATAAGAAATGTCTTGTGTAATCATTGTAAATTTGGGAAAAAAAAATCCTCTTGTGCACAGAGTTTAACAAATAAGTTATAGACAATCTTGCTCTGATCATTTACTGCTTATGATGTGACTTCCTCCTAACCAAAAGTTGTCGACAGCCTGTGCTTTAATTTTCTGTGAGCCTTACTAGTAGCCAACTGTCGTTAAGGATGTGCCGTTTTGTCAATACTGAGTCAAGAAACAATTAAGCTCCACAGTAATGCTGTTACCATAATCTGTTCCACTGTCCTGGACAGGAATATAAGCTGAAATAGCTGAGCACACCCCAAAACTGATTTGCTATTGAGAGAAAAAAAAAATGAAAGTGCATTCTGTGGTCTTTAATTGAATGTGAAGATTTACCATGGTGATGACCTCTTTATTGCTATGTGCTATAATTGTGTTTCTTGCCAATCTGTTACCAATTACCAGACATAACCAAGTCCTAATTATCTAACTATACATGTAGATACTCAGAAAACTTGTTGAATGAATGAAGGAGAAAATGGTGCATGGAATTTTCTTTTGTGTTGCATATGTAAATATTCTGACTTCATCTCTATTGATACTATTTTCAGATACCATACTACTTGTTTAAAATGTATACATTGACTGAAAACACCAACCAGTGAACCTATTTATCTTAATATTATTGGCAGTATGCACTTGGATACATAAATTCAAGGTTAATCCAAGGTTAAATTCAGGGTAGTCAAGCTTAAGAGGTGCTTCTTTATCAGTTGATTTCAAATTCTCCAAGATATGATGGATATCATCGTCCATATAGAAATAATGGATGCTTATTGGGAGATGAATGCCAGATCCTTCAAATATTAAGAACACAGCTTTAGTTTTATTATAATCCTTAGCTGTAATGATGTCACGTGGCCAATCATAAGCCAATGCTGGAAAAGAAATAGAATTGCCCAGAATAAACTAAATTAATTAAATTTACATCGTTGGGTTAAGGAATCATCTGGTATGCTTCACTGTCCCAGACGGCCAGATACCTAAAGAACATTAGGGTCATGTTATCAATTAGCAAGATTGTGCTTGGTGGTATATTGGGGGAAAAATAACGGGGAATATTTTGTTTCTCTCTCACTTGTAAGTTCAGAGGTAGCACAATGTAATGACATCATGTGGGGGCAGTCTTGTTCTGGTTTTCCTGCTCAACCGTACTGAATATGTGACTTCTACTGACAATGTGGCTGCTGAAACTCCAGTCATCACTTTCTTGTCTTAGAAAATATAAGCCCATGAAAATAGTCTCCACATGTTTAACTGACCTAAACTTTGTCACGCAGGTACCTTTAGCTGTAAGAGAGGTTGGGGATTGTAGCTGCATGTATTAAGGTCCCCCCCCCTTACGTATGCAATGGGAATTATTGCTGGGAAACAAGAAACTGGATGTTGCAGCCAACACCTACCAGATTGTTTCAAGCCAGCAACACTTAGAGGATGGCATAAATGAAAGCATCTAGGACAGCAGAGCACATGGGAAGAAATGACTGTTCTTGTTTTTGACCATTCACACTTCTCCTTTGCAAATAACTTTAGGCTGAGAAATAGCAGTGCAACAGAAAGATGCCAAGGACATTATGCATACATGAAGTCTAGAAACTGTGTCCACATAATTAGGATTGTGTTTTGCACTGTATCATTTTTTTAGCCTTCTTGGAGTACTTTACATATGAAAGGACATTATTTTTCCAAATATGGAAATGTGAAAGTCAAAGTATAAATGATCTTTCTAGCCTAGCCATCTTAATTACCAACAGGGTCACCTTTGGAATAAGCAAAGTATTACCTAGAAGGATAGGCTTATTATGAAAAGAATCTGGTCTTGTGGAGGAAAGAGGGAAATGAGGTGCTAATTAGCTACCATGAGCAGTGGAAACCTCATTGGCAAATGAGAGTTCATGTGTTCCAAGTCCCTACACTTGTTAGTGACAATCTTTTTTCTTTCTTTTTTAAAGGTAGCCAACCACGTTGTGCAAGCTCTGCTCACTCAAAAGGTAAGCAACCTTCTGGTTTTATTCTCAAAATGCTTATGTAACTATAATGGAACTCACATTGTCAAACTAGGAAATTGTGATTGATGAGGGCAATACACTAATATTTATTCACTTAAAGTGTGTTTAAAATGCATATGAAGTCATGTCTGGTGATTAGTAAAACTGAGAATTCAAACTCTTGGGAAAGCAATAGACCGCTTTTAAAGGTAAAAGGTTCCTGTGTTCCCCAAGGAGTTCCAACACATCATTTCTGTTGTTGTTTTTCGTTTTTTTGTTTTAGTTGACACAAACTTTAAAAAAGAAAGATGGAAAAGATGGTAAATTTTTCATTTCTTAATGAAGGAAATGATTTTGGGGGGAACAGTGCTCAGAGAAGTGTCAAACTCAATGAAAAATCTTTGAAGTGAAGGAAATTACTTAGTATCTTTGAGCCTTTTTTTTCTCGTCTGTAAAGTGGGGTTAATGCCCCGTGCCACCCAGGACATCCCCATGACCCTGTGGAAAGTCAGCACACAGATCGGTCCCTGGAAGAGCAGTGAACAGTGCATACATTTCTTTCCTCGTTCTCTATGCTGCCTTCAGGAGCATCACATTCCTGTAACTGGGTCAGAACTGAAAAATGGGATTGGCTCTGGCCAGCCTTGTGCTTGTTTGCTGAATTTCATGGAATTTAGCCTAGTTCCCTCAAATTTCTTGATTTTGATATCTCTCTCTGTGAAATGGAAACTTCTCACAAAGGCAATCTTCAGTCTTTGATTATGGCAGCATGTTCAGTAGGATATGACTAATGTGGGTGTTATTTACTGTGATGTTTTAAAATTCCAAGTTATTGTGTAAAGTATTGATTATTTTCATGGAGATAACTGTTGTTTTATAAAATCCATGCTCTACAGGCATTATGATAATCATTTTATTAGACTATCTCCCCTGTCATGCTGCTTTATGCAAATAATTGAACCCTACCCTTCAAGTCCTTCCCTGATAAGAACAGATATTCAGGTATGCTTATAGATGGTTAGAATCAAGATGGGTTGTGTGTCTTGCAAGCCCAAAGTTGTAATGTCTTCAGTGAGCTAAAGTGTCATTTCTCTCTCATATGTAAACCCACATACAGTAAAGAGCTGGTGAAGTAGCTATACTCCACAGTGTCCATGGGCTGCCTTGATCCGTTGTATCTTTTTTTAAAAATTTATTTCATTTATTTGAAAGGCAGAGTTATGGGTGGAAGTGGCCTGGTTTATTTTCTTATTCTTTGGAATACAACCTACAGTTTCAAGGTCACTGTGTGATCTAGAATGGATGTTGTGGCTCTGCTCATCACACTGATGTTCCAGCCAGACAGATAAAAAAATTAAAGAATGTGAAGAGAGCAAGGCAGTTATCCTTTAAAGATTTCTGGGAAGTTTCTTACAAAGATACATCAAACAATTCTTGAAAAAAAAGTAATAGAATTAAGGGATAAGGTTTTATACTAACCTCCCTCCAAAACAAACCAACCAACAAGCAAAGTAAAACTGCCTTTGCCAACAAGCAAAGTAAAACTGTTGTGATATAGCAGGTTAGCACTTTAAGCCAATATCAGGATGTTCATACCCCACATCAGAATGTCTGCTTCGTATCATAGCTGTTCTGTTTCTAATCTGGTGGGAGGTGTCGTGGAAGAGGTCCCAGCTGGAGCTTCTGCCACCCAGGTGGGAGACCTAGATGGGCGCCCCTGGCTTTGGCCTAGTCAGCTCTGGTTTTTGTAGGCATTTGGGGAGTAATATAGCAGATGGAAGATCTCTGTGTTTCTCCTTCTTTCTGTGTCATTATACCTTTCAGCTATAATAAAGAAATACTTAAACAGCGAAAACCTGCACATGGTTTTTCTATTGTTCATGCCTTGTGTGCACTCTCTGAAAACCCCTCTTGTAACCTCACTTACCTGTGTCTGAGCAGACCCTGGCCACACAGTCACACCTCATGAGGCTGATAGGGAAATCTGACCATCATATAGTTGTTGAAGGAAGGGGGTGGGGGCAGTGGAAGGGCAGGACAGAAAGATACGGCTAGCCACAGGTAGCTCATAACCTCTATCTCAGTTCCCTGGGAATGCCTTGTCTGGTTCCAAGGCTGGAATCCCTGCCTAGCTTTGCTTCTGTTGGAAGCCCTCTGCCCATTTCATTGCATGCCTGGGGAAGGAAGGTTGCAACTTGGCATACACCTTCTGAAAACATCTCCTACAGTCTTTTTCAATGGTGCCTCAGGAAAGAGACAAGGGAGCTGTCCAGCAAGATGGGAATGCTTCAGGTCAGCCACAGAAAACAGCTCCACACATCCTAGTAATAACTGATAAACAGATAAATCTGCCCCAGTTCAGCTAAGTGGTGAGGCACAGCAAGACGTGCCGCTGTGAGGGACCACACCTCAGGGATAATATGCAGCACAATAAGTAGGGGTGCTTTCAGGTGTAAGTAGGGGTGCTTTCGGAGATTCTGAGAGAATCTGGCTCTGCTAGAACCTGCACCTCCTGGTTTTCACCAGGAGTGTAAAATGGTTACAGAAGGATGGACAATAATTAAGAGCATGCCATAGGAGATGAAATGTACACCAGAAGCCTGTGAAAAAACTGATGTTGTTGATATGGAGGGAAAAGTGTAAATTGGAAGGATTTATCCAAGAGTCTCTCAGTGTCGCTTTTCCAAACATACCCATGCACATTCCTAAAGCTGAAATGAAAAGGAAACCGGACAGTTCAAGAACTTACCATTGGTTAGGACACAGATCTGCCTTGCTTCAGCTCCCCGGGGACACTAAGAAGACAGTTTCATGGCGCTGTGTGACTAGGCCCAGACAATCATCCCAAAGGAACAAGCTCATATCAGTTTTGATACCAAAATATCTTATTTCTATAAATGGGTCAATTTCTGTTAACTACTGATATCCTGGCATAGTTGAGAAATTCTATTGATCTTACAAACCTTCAGACTCTTGCAAGGATGGACTGCAGTGCTCTCCATCAGTTGTACTTAAGTGACAACACTGAGCCCAGCTGAATGCCATTTAGGACTATAAATCATAAGGCTGAGTTTACAAGTACATGTACAATCACTAATCCTGGCCAAACTCATATTTTTCCTCAAATATATTTTATTTTTATTAAGACAATTACAATAGCTGAAAATGAAGCTCCTAGGTTCCTTAGTGTATCTATATTTTTTTTAGGTTTATTTTTATTGCAAAGTCAGATATACAGAGAAAGGGGAAGAGACAAAGAGGAAGACCTTCCTTCTGATGATTCATTCCCCCAAATGACCGCAGTGGCCAGAGCTGCGCCGACCTGAAGCCAGGAACCAGGAGCTCGTTCGGGTCTTGCACATGGGTGCAAGGTCACAAGGCTTTGGGCTGTCCCATGTGGGATCCCAGCACATTCAAAGCAAGGACTTTAGCCACTAGGCCACTGTGCTGGGCCTGTATTTATTTTACTTTTTGTTATTTTTTAAAAACTTATTTGCTATTTTACTATTTATGGAGAGAAGGAAAGAGAAAGACCTTCCTTCTGCTACTTAACTCCCTAGGTGGCCACAATGGCCACAGCTGAACCCATTTAATGCCAGGTGTCTCTTCCACATCTCCCATGTGGGTACAGGGTCCCAAGACTTGGGACATTCTCAAAAGCTTTCCTAGGCCACAAACTGGGAACTGGATGGGAAGTAGAGCAGCCGGGACATGAGCTGGCACCCATATGGGATCCTTGCAGATGCAAGGCGAGAACTTAACCACTAGGCTATTGCACCAGGACCCCTTAGTGCATTTTGCAACTGAAATTAAACTTGGAAGGAAAATGTTGTCCTTACAGTTACTTCGCATTACATCAGTGATCTTAGCCAATCAACATATTCCTCTGAATAGCCATATAATTATATTTTCTTTATAGACATGGCACAAACCAGCAGGATACAGTATTGAGGCTTGTGGCTGAAAGGATCCCAGTGTTCCACTTACAAGGATCTTTTTAAGCAATCATGGAAAATAAAATTAAAACATAAATTTATTCTGGTGCAAAAAATACTGAATTGCATGCATATGGGGTATCTTCGTACCAAAAGGTTATGGAAAGTGTGTATTGTGGGAAAAATTTCATAACTCAAAATATTTTGTACTGAAAAAACATCCAGTTTCATTTTCTACAAATATTTTGAAGGGCCCTTATTTTTCTCTTATGAAAGGGGTGCTTATCTATGCTAACTTCATGTTGGTTGTGGTCTGTGCAGAATCTGCTTTGAATCAATGCTCCATTGATAACATCAGTTGACATGCTTCTAAGCAGCTGCTCTTATGTTGATTTTTTGCTGTTAATTGCATAGGGTACCCATGCACCCATAGGGATCATATGTCCTTTAAAAATTTCAGCCCTGGAACAGATGGAATTTTTCAGGATTACAGTGTAGATCTGCAGGAAAATTCTGTTTCGGATCATCAAAGTAGACAGTGGCCCTGTAGACATGTGCCCACATTGTTCAGCACATTTTGCCCCACATTCTGCTGTAATCACATCATCTTTGTTTATGACTAACATTGACATGTACCCTGCAAAGAAAACAGATTTGGGGCCTGGAGTGATAGCCTAGTGGCTAAATCCTCACCTTACATGCACTGGGATCCCATATGGGTGCTGGTTCATATCTCAACTGTTCCACTTTCCATCCAGCTCCCGGTTTGTGTCCTGAGAAAGCATTTGAGGACAGCACCAAGTTTTGGGATCTTGCACCTATGTGGGAGATCTGGAAGAATCTCCAGGCTCCTGGCTTCAGATTGGTTCAGTTCCAGCTGTTGTGGCCACTTGGGGAATGAATCAGTAGACAGAAGATCTTTCTGTCTCTTCTTCTGTCTGTAAATCTGCCTTTCGAATAAAAATAAATCTTGGGGAAAAAAGGTCTGGCTGGGTTCTTGAACTGAAACATCAGTTATACTTTCTTGTGAGATTAAGTATAGTAAATTCTTTGACCTTGTTTCTTTACGGTGCAATCCTGTGTCTTGCCCCTTTCTTTGTAAATAAACAAGTTTGTTTTCAGCAAGATCATCCTCTGGAGGCCTGAAGGCACACTGATCCTAGAGAATAAAGAGGAAGGTTATGAGAGAGGACTAATAGACATGACCCCAGAATGTGGGCCTATACAGAGAACATGTTTTGTTTCTGCAGCCAGCCTGGGGAGAGCATATTCTAGGTATCTCTTCGGTAGCCAAGGGAGACACCATCGTTGGTTGCTGTTTTATGTTCAGCCTGAGTGTGTCATCAGTGAGTTCGTGTGGGGAGCTCAGAGGAAGCATGGAGTACCAACTGCCTCAGTCTGCCCAGGTATCAACATAGCGATTGAAGAGAGTTGTTTTCCTCTCATTCTTTCTATTTGTCTGCTCTGGTTATGTGTATGTCTCTGCATATGGGCATATGCTTGTCTCTGATGACTAGCAATTGTCTGGCATCAGGTACCACCTACAGTTTGTACAAAGTAAGAATACCAAAGATACCATTAGCAAAGGTTTCTCACATTTCCAGGACAACTTGTTTCTTTCTGTCAATAATTGTTAAGATCAAGGTCAAGCTCCTCAGGCCTTCCTTTTCCCCTCTGCCACGTGCTCAAATGCAAGAGCCAATAGTGATGAGTGAAGTGTTCTCAGGGTCAATGAACCATGTTCCCACTAAAGGAATCTTGACCATGTTTCAATCATGGAAATGGTCCTTGAGAACTGAGCCTGTGTATACATACTGCCCACAGAGCTTGTGTGTTTTTTCTTTCTATTCTTTTTTTTTTCACCCATCCAAAGAAATTTTCCCAGTTATTCTCAGTGCTGCTTCTAAAGATTACAGATGCTACTGCATTCAGATCCTTGCTTTCCTTGCAAACCCACACTTGGCATGCTGTGTTTTTCTTGTCTCCTCCTGCAAATAAGAATGATTGCTTTCCCTGCCAATGGGCACTATTAATATTTATCTACCTCACAGTCAAGTGTTATTAATTAGTTAATTAGTAGTAGTGAAAACAATTAGTGTTTGGGAGCAGAGTGTTATGTACATGCTAAGAACACAAATTACCATAAAGAAGGCAAAGGCAGAGTCTGAATTCCAAATAGAGAGCAAATTTAGCCTTTTTATTTGACAAGGACTTGGTCTCAGGGCGGCATGTGTTAAGGAGTATCTGTGACCAGGTACCAATGCAGACTCCTCCCCCTGTTGTCCTAGATCTTATATCCCATGCCTCATTCTGGATTTGGCTTTTCCTCAGCCCTGAATTCATCCAAGCATCAATTATGTCTACATAGTTTATGCTTGAGATATTTTTGGGGTGGAGGGTGTGTGTGTGTGTGTGTGTGTAACTAACCAAAAAAAGAGAAAGGTTAAATTGCAGTGATCTGTCTTGGCCTTTTTGTTATTCTGTTTATTTAAAAAACAAATTTGTTTTGGGAATTTGGAAGCCCAGTGTAATACCTAGTGGCCAAAATCCTTGCCTTACATGTGCTTGGCTCCCTAGTGATGCTGGATCATGTCCCAGCTGCCCACTCCTTTTCCAGCTCCCTGCTTGTGACCTGGGAAAGCAGTTGAGAATGGCTCAAAGCTTTGGGATGCTGCACCCACGTGGGAAACCCAGAAGAAGCTCCTGGCTCCTGGTTTCAGATCAGCTCAGCTACAGTCATTGTGACCACTTAGGTCAGTGAACCAGTGGATGGATGACCTTTCTGTCTCCTTCTCTCTGTAAATCTGACTTTCTAATACAAATAAATATAAATAATGAATCTGACTTTATTGGAAAGTCAGAGCTTTACAGATTTACAGAAAGTCAGATTTACAGAAAGATCTTCTGTCTGCTGGTTCACTCCCCAAGTGACCTCAATGGCTGGAGCTGAGCTAATCAGAAACCAGGAACCAGGAGGTTCTTCTGGATCTCCCATGTGGGTGCAGGGTCCCTAGGCTTTGTGCAGTCTTTAACTGCTTTTCCAGATCACAAGCAGGGAGTTAGATGGGAAGTAGAACAGCCAGTATTAGAACCAATGCCCATATAGGATCCTGATGAATCCGAGACAAAGACATACCTACTACGCCATTGCGCCAGACCCTTTATTTATTTATTTATTTATTTATTTATTTAGTTAGTTAGTTAGTTATTTAAAGAGAGTTAATAATGCAAATTGAGCATCCCAATCCAGTATATGAAATCTGAAATCCCTGAAGTGCTAAAATATTGTGAGCTTTTTGAGTGCTGGTGTGATACTTAAAGATTTTGGATTGTGGAGCATATTCAGGCAGTAAAGTCTATGTAAGTATTCAAAAATCTGGAAAATCCCCAAGCCCAAAGCACTTCTGTTCCCAGTTACTTTAGAAGGACTCCTCACACTGTGCTGGAAATGGTGATAATGCTCAGGAAGAGCCTTAGAAACAATAGCTGTCCAGTTTGACAATGATGTTGATACAAGGTTAACTACCAGACTCACCTACCTGCTGTTTAGGGACTAGAGGTCAGAGCAGTTGACTGGTGATCTCCTTTGCTTACAGAGCCTTAAGTAAGACCTGCAGCAGCCCCCTGTCGAAAGATGGAAATCTACAAGGTAGAAGTGTCAAGCACCTTAAACTTTTGGCCTGAGCAGCCACTAGGGAACAGAACTCCTTATCACCATCCCATTTAGCAAAATAATTGCAAAGATTTATTAAATGTGTACTGCATGCAAGTGCTGTACTGAATAATGGAATCGAGAGAGTGTCAGAGCAGTGCATTTGCACAGTTCTTTATTGTGGTGTCCTTCTGTGCTTGCCTTATGGAAAATGTGGCTTCTAATTGGCAAAATAAGTTTAGAACACACATGAGAAGCCCGTGGTAGTATAATGCTAAATGTCATAGGGAAGTCATTGAAGGCTTATTGGGGTTCAAAAGGGAGAGTGATCTTTAGGGGACACCGTGGAAAGTGTCAGAGAGGTAAGGAAATTTACATTTAAAGAGTCAAGCATAAACTGGAAGAGGAAGGTAGGTGAGAGAGGAAGTTGACAATGGGAGGGGGTGGTGCTCAGCATGGCAGGATGCAGGAAGCTTTGGAGGATGAGAAGACCAGTTCCTCTGCACACTGGGTACTGAAGACTGGTTTATGTCAGGAAATAGTGAAAAATGACATCTGAAATGCAGGAACTGGTCAACTGGTAAAGAAACTGGAATTCAAACTTCATTATACTGGTTTTGTCTTAAGCCCCATCCAAAAGGATATTGTATGGCAAGAAACTACTGCAGATCGATTTAGAAGACAGTTCCTTAGTAGGGTTCCAGGTATCAGTCCCTTGTCCTACTGTGCCCCCCCTTCCACTGTGGACTGGGGAAAAGGTCCACGAGGGGTTTTGAAAGATTATGGAGGGCCCGGCGCGGTGGCGCAAGTGGTTAAGTCCTTGCCTTGCACGCCCAGGATCCCATATGGGTGCCGGTTCTATCCCGGCAGCCCCGCTTCCCTTCCAGCTCCCTGCCTGTTGCCCGGGAAAGCAGTCAAGGACGGCCCAAAGCTTTGGGACCCTGCACCCACGTGGGAGACCCAGAAGAGGTTCCTGGCTCCTGGCTTTGGATCGGCATAGCATCGGCCATTGTGCTCACTTGGGGAGTGAATCATCAGACGGAAGATCTTCCTCTCTCTCTCCTCTCTGTATATCTGCCTTTCCAATTAAAAAAATGATAAAAATAAATCTTTAAAAAAAAAAGAAAGATTATGGAGAGCTATACCGAAAGGTTGCTGAAGTGGCTGACTCTACTCCTTTCCTTGCGCCGAGACAAAAAATCCTGCAAGGAAATGGAAATGCACTCATTCACAGGATGGGCAAGTTCCAAGGAGCCCTTTAAAAGCCTCAGCTTCAGCGTTACTTCTCTACCATTAAATGCATCGCTGACTCTATTAGCCACAGCGCTAAGAGGCTCACTACAAATGACAGTGAAAGGATCCATCAAAACCGATAGTTTCTTTAGTTCATCAAATCTCTATTCACTGCAAAAACATTGTTGTTCTTGTGGTTTGTTCTTCATGATTGCTTTTATGAAGGTGGCGAAAAGGCAAAGTATAGAGGTGGAAACTCAAAATTGACTCTATATGGCTAAGATTTACCATCTTCAAAAATAGCATGCTGTATTAATACATTTCTGATTTCAAGGTGTTTTTTTCTCCTTAAATTGTTCTTTCCTGCACATAATAATTCCATCAGACAAGGGACTGTGGAAGAAAATGTCATGTGTGGTTTATTTCTGAGGGGCTTTGAAGAATAAAAATACTATCATTGGTTAATGTGTCTGAAATATCAGATACAATATGATTGTAATATGCAAAGATGCCTTTCAGTTACAGACTCTTTTCTTTCAATTTATTTATTGTAGGATCTGAGGGAGGAATGTGTAAAGTTGAAAACCAGAGTGTTTGATTTAGAACAACAAAATCGAACGCTAAGTATTCTGTTCCAGCAGCGAGTGAGACCAGCTTCTGATCTGCTCCTCCAGGTATGTGTTTATGTGCAGAACAATCTTTGCTACTGAAATGGTATTGACAAGAAGTTACTTAAGTTCAAACGTTACTAGCATCTCTGTGAGCTAGGCGTATTGCATCAGAACTCCAATGCTTTCCCCTCTCAGGGGACATCATTAAAACTGAACATATCTTAAATTTTTGACTTTTTAAAGCTATATGCAGATCAAGAAGCACACCAACAAAAATAGGCAGGTGAAAGGTACAATCCAAAGACGTCCTCTGGCACACAAGGCGGAACCATGGATTGGATTTAGGCAATAATTGATTACGCCAGGGAACAGCATTAGTAACTGCATTCTCTGATAAACAAGGAAGTTTTATGTAACACCAAAGCACATGTCTTTTTTTCAATCTCTCTAGAACCAGAAATACAAGTGGGGTTTGTTTTACTTCCTCTCTGTCTCTGTATGGAATTCCTCTCTCCAACACAAGGCTTCGATTCTTGGTATTCTTACAGCAGCTCTTTGTCTCCATGCTCTTGTTGAACTCTTTTTTTTTTTTTATTCAAACTTGCCTACATGACATGTACTGCTGTCAAAAGTCAAACGGTTTCAACAGTTTTGCACCTGTCCCTGACAAAGCGCAAGAAAATACATTCCTCTCAGAGAAGCACGTGTGGTGGGACAGGGCTTGGAGAGCCGACCTTTGCTGCTTCTGAGTGTTTAATCCTGAGCATGTGCATATTGGCTCACACAAGCTCACGTGAGCTTTGCTTAGAGCCCTTCAAAGTCTGAGCTGACAAAGGCTGCACTGATGTTTCACAGGGCAGTGTATACTCTTGGTTGGGTGTAACTGGCTAAGAGGGAGGTTCCCCCTCCACATAATCATCTGGATGACACAGTCCAGAAATAAATGGCACCTAGGGGCTTCTTAAATTTAAAAAATTTATATTGCATTAAAATTGAGTTCTGGGGCCCAGCACGGTAGCCTAGCAGGTGAAGTCCTCACCTTGCACACTGTGGGATCCCATATGGGTGCCGGTTCTAATCCCGGCAGCCCTGCTTCCCATCCAGCTCCCTGCTTGTGGCCTAGGACAACATTTGAGGACGGCCCAAAGCCCTGGTACCCTGCACTTGTGTGGGAGATCCGGAAGAGGCTCCTGGCTTCGGATTGGCTTGGCTCTGGCTATTGCAGCCACTTGGGGAGTGAGTCATTGGATGGAAGATCGTTCTCTGTGTCTCTCCTCCTTTCTGTATATCTGACTTTCAAACAAAGATGAATAGATCTTTTTTTTTAATTAAGTTCTTTGTCCAACTAGCTACATTTCAGCCATTCAAAAGACCCCTGTGTTGAGCAGTACTTGAAGAGTGAGTTGCCATCATTTTAGAAAGACAAGGTTTTTTCCAAGTGATTGACACTGTGCTGCTGATTTACCTCTGAATGTTAGTATAAGCATTTTTAGGACTCCTTTGGGAACTATGGAAATTGTAACTTGTTTCAGAGAAAGAAAGATCCTTGACAAAGCCGAACATGAAGATATAATTTGCTTTCCTGTCTCCCTACCATGAATTATATTAAAACAGATCTCTGAATTACCAAAAAAAAAAACACCCTCATATCTTAAATTAATTTCTTCTTTACATTAATGGATTATAATTCCTAATTTCTAATGTAAAATTTGTGTTTAGGAAGAAAAGTCATTCATTTGCTGTTTATTTGTGGTCCTGCCCATAATAAATTTTTGACAGAGGAGATCTTGAATTTGTAAAAAGCTGTTCTGCTTTTGCAGTCTCACGGAGAGCCAGAATATAATTAGTCTTACCAGCTGTTGCATTTTCATGTTCTTTTTAAGTAATTTTGCTTTTTCTAACTTGAAGCTTTTTTGGAACAATGTTTAAGGATCTTTAGTCTCTGTTTATGAATCATGAGAATTTATTTGCACAGTAAACACATGTTCCATAGATATTTGAGTCTTTTCATTGGCTGTCACAATGACATTGGCTGTTTCTTAAATCCTTATCCAAATGCCGTGGGATGCTGTGTATACTAGCTGTGAGATTCAGTGTTTGCTCACTGAGTGTTACTAGTAAATGAACTTGATTTTCTCCACCAATGAGAGATTATTTCTAGGAGACATTCTCACGTGATATTAATAGAAGATAAACTGTATGTAATTCTGTAGAGAAAAATGGTAGAAAACATGATGCCTGCTCTCTTGTGGCTTCATGCCTACAATCCTAGACAGAAGAAGTGTCTGACTTTTCAAGTGATCTGATAATTATATGATGCATGGCAATTTATTTGCTGATGATGCTTTTGGGCTTCATTGAGAAACAAACAGATACCATGGAGTTTTAAAAAACAAATCTGAACCTGATTTGCACCTATTGATGTTTAGTGATTATTGATTGAATGGAATGATGAGTGAGTGAAGTTAGTCATAGTGCAGGTTGTAGAGTTACTGCACACACACCTGAGGGAGGTTTATGACTCTAACTCCTCCTCTGAACTTTTCCCAACTTTTACGGATCTCCAGTACAGCCAGGTGGGTCCAGTCTGATCTGTTTGAGCATGTGGTGAAAGTGCAGCGAAAATCTAACACTGTGTGTGCACAGACTGAGATGTCACACATCCTGGTCCTGCTCCCTGTCAGCTGCAGAGTCAGGACTGCAAATTTCTACGTCATTTTCTGTAAAAGAGTGCTTCAAAAACTTTGTGGAAAATGAAATTTTTGTGCAAGAAAAAAATACATATGAGGGAATCTTCAAACAGCACATAAAAGCCTATTAGAAATACACTATGGATAACTTTCAAAAGTTACTGTACTTTTTATGTGTATTAAGTAAACCAATGAATAGTGATACAAGTGTTGTTATAAAACAAAGCTGAGTGTTCCAAAAGCTTCTGTAAGCAAGTTACTAGGAAACAGTGTGTGATCAAATCCAACATAGGTATAAGGAAACCAGGGATTGTACTAAACGTTCTTCAAACACACTGTGGCACTCCCAGTTTCTTAATCAAATGAAGAGAAACTAGAGGGATGGGCCAGGTAGGGGGTGGAGTGGCTCTGTGAATAGAGAAACAATACCACATCTAACCACTGAACGCATGCTCTATGGAATGAAAGTGTTTCTGCTTGGCTGGAGTAAAGAGTTTATGTCAGGAACAAAAGAAAAATGAGTCCTTTGAGGGTAAAGTAAGTCCACAGAGCCTTGGATGCATTATGAAGATGAAAAATCACATCTTGCCATAAACCCTGAAGATTCATTCTCATCTTTTGTGCCTTTCTGACTTGATCCCAAACCAGCCTCCTGAGCTACATCACATCATGAAATGTCCTGCCCTGAAGGAGCTGTGTGATCTTTCAAAGTGACCCCCACCTCTTGCAGAGGCAGCTTTCTGTGCCTCTGACAACTTAATATCCTCAGTGAAAGAGACACAATCCCCACTACACATCCTCCGTATGCTTTCATGGCTCCGCAATGCCAAGAACAAAGCCACCAAGGTCCACTGATGATGCAGCATGGCAGCTTCACCGTTAAGGGTGACTGTACCAGCTGGGCCCTGGTGTTATTCAGCTGCACAGAGATGCTCCTCCTGTCACCTGAGGGTCTGTCTAAATTAGCTATCAGGTCTGCAGGGCAGGCTGGAGTCACCTCCTTGGCTGACATGCAGTAACCCAGGGGGCAGAGAAGATCAATTCTAGAAACTCATAAAGCAAAATGACAGCCTATCAAACATTGTGGGAAGCCAGTGAAAACTCTAAATATGTTTAGATTTGCTTGCCTCCTTGTTGAATTGTAAATCTAGGTAAGAAGGAAGCTCAAAGGTGGTTTTGATAGATCAGAATTAAAACCTCCCATTAGAGATCGTGGGTTGCTCTCCCATTCCACACTTTTCCATTTGTTTATTTGTCCGTCCCTCTTCATTATTTTCACTGTGTAATTCTAATGCCTTCCTAATCATTTCTTCTTCACTTTAACCTTTCATATCAGTTTAACTATATACATTTGATAATATCCAAAAATTGGATACAGACACCCTTAAGAAAGCAAAGCATGTGCATTCAAAGGTGTATCATGAGGACAAGTGTTGAACCTATTGGCTAAAATGTCAGTAAGGATGCATTTGTCATATGTCACAGTAGCTAGTATTGATACCTTGCATCAGATCCAAATTTCAAGTTTCTTATCCAAGTAATAAGAAATCCAAGTTTCTTATTAATGCAAATCCTTAGGAGATGATGAAATGAAGGCTAAAATAATTGGAATCTAGCCTCCCATGTGGGACGCAGGGAGGTCTGGGCTCCTGATGTTGGTGCTGGCAAAATCTCAGCATTGCATACATACGTTTGAGGGGTGAACCAAAAGGCAGGAGTCTCTCCCTCCTAGTAGAAGAAACAGCAAAATTTTAGTAGATTAAACTCTTAGCTGCCACAAGAGTTTGGGAATTCATAATTCTACACAGGACATCAAGTGCTGACTCACGTGGGTGGCACAGGTAGCTGACGACTACATGACCTCCATCCAGGAGACAGTTGACCAGAATGGCTGTGTCCAGGAGAACTCCAGCGAGGTAGTATCTTGAGGCTGGATCTCAGGGAAGATGATGCCTTGCTTGTAGACATGTAGAGAAGTGAGTGGGTAAAGTGTTCTGCTCAAGCTCATGATTAGATCCACACTTTGGAAAGAAAGATGTGGAGGAAGAGGAAAAATAAATCAGAAAAGTGGCAAATGTTTTAAAATCCTCCCACCTAAAATAATGTGAAGCAGAACAGGAACAGAAACAGCACAATTTTACACCTTGGTTTTAAGCTTGTCAGATTCTCTATTACTTAGGTGACTCATCTACACTGAAGTCGTCTTTCTGTCTTGGCCAAAGGATATGGCAGCCCTTTGAAATATCAGATTAGAAAGAAACAAATTTCTTGGGCTAAAAGTAATGTTGTATTAGGATAATGATAATGCAAGTATCCAAAGCAAGACAAAGAGAACACAGATAGAGGGGAAAGTCTTAAATGCCATAAGTCAAG